CAGTGGTTCACAACTGTAATCCCAGCACTTTGGGAGGCTGAGGAAGGAGGATTAATGATGTTGCCCAGGCTAGTCTCGAACTCCTAAGCTCAAGTGATACACCCACATCAGCCTGGCCCACATGTAGTTATTTTTTATTATATAAAATTAAGGTATACAACATGATGTACACCTTAAAATCTTTGCTTCATGTACAAAATGATGTTGTACACCTTAATTTTATACAATAAAAATCAGCTATATGTGGGCCAGGCATGGTGGTTCACACCATAATCCCAGCACTTTGGGAGGCTGAGGCAGAAGGATTGCTTCTACACTTTCATTACTTGTAGGTTCCATGACTGTGTATCTACCAAATCTAAAATAATTTTTAAATTATTAGAATTAATGAGTGAATTTAAGTGAGGTCACTGTATATTTATGTGTAAGAACAAATAAACTAAATAAGACTAAAATCTTTGCCTCATGCCTCAAACCCACTGTCCACTCCATAACTTGGCAGATAATCTTGTCTTATATTATAGAAAGATGAGGCCCTGAGGTTTCAACCGCCACAATTTGCTGACCTCATGACCTCAAACTTACCTAAGTTGGCCCACTCCCTCACTGCCTTTCCTGTATTCACAGGGACACATCCTTTTCCCTTCTCCTCTTACAAACCAGCTCTGTTCTCTGCCATCTCTGCTAGAATAAAGAGAGCTTCCTCTGATATTTCTCTTTCTTATGTGTTCATCCTAGCCAGAGGAGTGGAAAGAGCCCATTGGATTGAGCAGTTAAGGAGGTGAGTCAATTAAACCTCTTTTGTTTATAAATTCCCCAGTCTCAGGGAAGTTCTTTATAGCAGTGTGAAAATGGACTAATACAGTTAATTGGTACCAGGAGTTGGATACTGCCATAAAGATACTCAAAACTGTGGAATCGACTTTGGAATTGGGTAACAGGCATAGGTTGAAACAGTTTAGAGGGCTTAGAAGACAGGAAGATGTGCGAAAGTTTGGAACTTCCTAGAGACTTGTCGAATGGTTTTGACCAAAATGCTGATAGTGATGTGAACAACGAAGTCCAGGCTGAGGTGGTCTCAGATGGAGATGAGGAACTTCTTGGGAACTGGAGCAAAGGTCACTTTTGCTATGCTTTAATGAAGAGACTGGTGGCATTTTGCCCCTGCTCTAGAGATCTGTGGAACTTTGAAATTGAGAGAGATAAATTAGAGTATCTGGCAGAAGAAATTTCTAATTGGCAAAGCATTCAAGAGGAAGCAGAGCCTAAAATTTGGAAAATATACAACCTGACCATGAGGTAGGAAAAAAACTCCAATTTTCTGAGAAGGAATTCAAGCTGGCTGCAGAAATTTGCATAAGCAACAAGGAACTGAACGTTAATAGCCAAGACAATGGGAAAAATATCTCCAGGGCATGTCAGAGACCTTCACAACAGCCCTTCTCATCACAGGCACAGAGGCCTGGTAGGAAAAAATGGTTTTGTGGACCGGGCCCAAGACTCCCTGCTCTATGCAGCCTAAGGACTTGGTGTCCCTTGTCCTAGCTGCTCTAGCTCCATCTATGGATAAAAGGAGCCATAGTCAGCTCAGGCTGTTGCTTCAGAGGGTGTAAGCCTCAAGTCTTGATGGCTTCCATGTGGTATTGGACCTGTGGGTGCAGAGAAGACAAGAATTGAGCTTTGGGAACTTCCACCTAGATTTCAGAGGATGTATGAAAACTCCTGGATGTCCAGGCAGAAGTCAGCTGTAGGGGAAGAGCCCTCATGGAGAACCTCTGCTAGGGCAGTGCAGAGGAGAAATGTGGGGTTGGAACTCCCACACAGAACCCCCACTGGGGCACTGCTTAGTGGAGCTGTCAAAATTCCAGACCCAGGATGGTAGATCCACCAACAGCTTGCACCATGTGCCTGGAAAAGCCACAGGCATTCAACGCCAGCCTGAAAAGGAGCTGCCCAAGGTTATGGGAGCCCACCACTTGCATCAGTGAGCTCTGGATGTTTTACATGGAGTCATAGGAGATCATTTTGGAGCTTTAAGGTTTAGTGACTGCCCTGTTAGATTTCAGACCTGCATGGGGTCTGCAGCCCCCTTTTCTGGCCAATCTCTCCCTTTTGGAATGAGAGCATTTATCCAATGCCTGTACCCACCTTGTGTCGTGGAAGTAACTAACTTGTTTTTGATTTTACAGTCTTATAGGCAGAAGGGACTTGCCTTGTCTTTGATGAGACTTTGGACTTTGACTTTTGGGTTAATGGTGGAATGAGTTAAGTACTTAGGGAACTGTGGGAAGGCATGATTGGTTTTGAAATGTGAAAAGATACAAGATTTTGGAGGGGCCAGGGTTGGAATGATATAGTTTGACTCTGTGTCCCCACTCTAATCTCATCCTGAATTGTAATCCCCACATGTTGAGGGAGGGACAAGTAATCCTCATGTGTCAAGGAAGGAAGGTGATTGGATCATGAGGGTATTTTCCTCCATGCTGTTCTTATGATAGTGAGTTCTCATGAGATCTGATGGTTTTATAAGGGACTTTCCCCACTTCACTTCTTCCTCTGTCTCCTGCTGCCTTGTGAAGAAGGTGCCTGCTTCCCCTTCTGCCATGATAGTAAATTTCCTGAGGCCCACCCCAGCCATGTAAAACTATGAGTCAATTAAACTTCTTTCCTTTATAAATTATCCAGTCTCAGGGAAATTCTTTATAGCAATGTGAAAATGGACTAATATACTTAGTCTCTAGTAATCAGGGAAACTGAAGATCTTGTGACCTCTGTAATAATGGCTAGTAATTATTTAACTACTGTTATATCTTAGCAGAATTAAGGCTCCTCTCATCCTCCTAACCTGATGGCCTTTTATTAGTTTTACAAAGATGGTTTAGTTTTGGGAAGGGCTATTACCATTTAAACTATGAAATAAATTTCTCCCAAAGTTAGCTTGGCCCATGCTGAGGAATGACCAAGGGAAATTTGGAGGTTAAAAGCAAGATGGAGTTTGTTAGATCTCTCTCACTGTAATAATTTTCTCACTGTTATAACTTTTGCAAAGGTGGTTTCAGTTGTAACTCAAGGGTTACTGGACTTCTCAGCTGTAAACAATGTGAACTAATGACTAATAAGTGGTTTAGTGTTGGGACCTTTTACAACCCAGGGGGAAGGGAGGGGAAGTGGGCACAAATGATTAAAATTTGGATTCCTGCCAGCAGGCAGAAACTAGGGCTCAGAGTCCAATTTAGGTTGACTTAAAAACAATTTAAAAGTGTGGCTTTTCATGCACAGTTAAATTTGCTAGCTGAGATCCACACTTGTTTCTTATTAAAAATGTCCAATAAATGATATTTTTTAGTTTAGGGAATAATTATGTAGCTCCCTGAATCTGTCCCAGTGCACTGAGGGACTGTCAGCTGTTGAAGCAGAAATGATCTGATGAACCAGACTGCCAAGACGGACGTGACCACTTTTGACTGCAGAGCAAGCAGAGAAATAAAGATTCATGTGCAAGAGAGGATGGACTCATAGGGTTATTTGACCTAAAGGAAGGCACCTGCAGGACCTGGGATTTTGCAATGTGCAGAGACCGAAAAAGAAAAACATTTGGCTATTAGCAGCACTGAAATAAATTTACTCTGAGCAACGTTTCTGCCTAACTGCCTTAACTAATACAAGAACAAAATTTGAAACTTCAGCTCATTGTTCTACTTTTGGCAGTATGATTTTTCCTGAGGCTTTTAATTCTTTTCTTAAAGTCCTCTATATTAACTTTGAATCATTGATGTGTTTTCAAATATTGGCTTAAAGCAGCTTAGGTTGTTATTGTATTTAAGGGAATAAATTGGCTGTCTAGATGTATCCTATTTCATATACAAATGCCTATTTTCATGCAAATAAACAAACTTCTATAGGAAAGTATTCATGATATAAGGTGTCATAGGAAGCTCTTGAATATTTATTTACTCTCAGAGTTCTGGCTTTTTGATTACATTATTGTTAAATCACTTGTGTATACCATTACCTTGTTAGTGGGACTAAGTATCCTAAAGCATTTCTTTTCTTATTTTCACCATTCCCATTTTCACATACAAACAAATTTTTAAAATAAAACTTTGTTGATATATATAGGAAGAATTTCTCCAGCTCTAATGATCTCAGTGACAAAGGATATTCTTTTATGCTTTCATTCTACCAATCTCAATCTTCTGTCTTTCAAATCCCTTTCCACTGGACCCCCAGAGTCTTTATTATGTTGTCAATAACCTTCCCTTATTTTTGGACAATTATAGAATTGAAAGTCTGGAAGGTGCTTTAGAGCCTTGCTACTCAAAGTGTGGATCATTTCACCCTCTGTTAATGGTTGAATCTCAATCTCTATTCTTAATCATCTGTTCCCTAAGTGTGCCAGATATGATTTTCCAGTAGCATTTTTGGATATCTCCGTGTGGATGTCAGCTAGTGTAGCAGAGTCAACAGGCTTTTATTTTTATTTTTTAAGAGTAGAGATGAAGTCTCGCTATGTTTATGTTGCCTGGACTGGTCTTGAACTCCTGGGCTCAACCAGTCCTCCCACCTCGGGCTCCCAAAGTGTTGGGATTACAAGCATGCGCCACTGTGCCCAGCCTCAACGCGCCTAAAATCAAGACACACATAAACACAGCAAAACACATTTAACTCACCATTAACCCCTTCACATGATGCTTTTTCTGTATTCCATTTTTCTTTGATGATGATATTGCCATCTTCATGGCCATCTCAATGGGACATAGAAAAAGCATTATAATATTGCTCTCTCAATACTACCCCCAATTTAATCAGCCCATAACTTTTGTGAATTAAATTTCCACCAAGCCTTGGGCATAGATTTCTTCTTCTCTGCTCATTGCTGCTGTTTTGATTTACATTTTCATTATCACTTGTCTTGCCTAACGCCAGCTATCCTAACTTATCTCTTTGCCTTCTCCAGTCTCCCTTTCTTCTTTTTTAATTTATTTTTTTTTAAATTTTAGATTCAGTATTCTGCCTCCTTCCGGACGACCAAGGAGACTCGTGGTCTTGTTTTCTGACTTCCCCATCAGCATAGTCCGCAAACGCCGCCGTCGGTCTCCACTCCCACCTCAAAAGAAGAAACCAAGACCACCTCCTGCTCGGGGACCAAAGGAGACATCAACTTCTACAGGCTTGGTGAAGAAGGGAGAACAAGAACAGCAAGAAATAATTGAAAACATTGATGAAGTACAAAATGAAATAGACAGACTTAATGAACAAGCCAGTGAGGAGATTTTGAAGGTAGAACAGAAATATAATAGACTCCGCCAACCGTTTTTTCAGAAGAGGTCAGAATTGATTGCCAAAATCCCCAATTTTTGGGTAACAACATTTGTCAACCATCCACAAATATCTACACTGCTTGGGGAGGAGGATGAAGAGGCACTGCATTATTTGGTCGGTGTTGAAGTTACAGAATTTGAAGATATTATTAAATCAGGTTACAAAATAGATTTTCATTTTGATGAAAATCCTTACTTTGAAAATAAGGTTATCTCCAGAGAATTTCATCTGAATGAGAGTGGTGATCCAACTTCAACATCCACCAAAATCAAATGGAAATCTGGAAGGGATCTGACAAAACGTTCAAGTCAAAAGCAGAATAAAGCCAGCAGGAAGAGGAAGCATGAGGAACCAGAGAGCTTCTTTACCTGGTTTAAGGACCATTCTGATACAGGTGCTGATGACTTAGGAGAGGTCATCAAAGATGATATTTGGCAAAACCCATTACAGTACTACTTGGTTCCCGATATGGATGATGAAGAAGAAGAGGAAGAAGAAGAAGAGGAAGAGGAAGAAGAAGAAGAAGAAGAAGAAGAAGAAGAAGAAGAAGAAGAAGAAGAAGAAGAAGAAGAAGAAAGAGAAGAGGATAATGATCATGATGAAGAGGAGGAAGGATTAGAAGATGTTGATGAAGAAGAGGATGAGGATGAAGGTGAAGAAGATGAAGATGATGATGAAGGGGAGGAAGGAGAGGAGGATGAAGGAGACGATGACTAATAGAACACTGACGGATTCCAACCTTCCTTTTTAAAAATTTCCTTCAGTCCCTGGGAGCAAGTTGCAGTCTTTTGTTTTTTTCCTCTTGTGCTCAGTCGCCCTGTTCTTGAGGTCTCCTTTCTCTATACCATTGTTCTCAGCTTATTTTGGGGGAAATACCTTGAGCAGAATACAATGGGAAAAAGAGTCTGTACTCTTTCTGTTCGAAATTCATTTTTATCCATTCCTGTCTGAACAAAAACTGTATGGAATCAACACCACTGAGCTCTGTGGGAAAAAAGAAAAACCTGCTCCCTTCGTTCTGCTGGCAGCTGGAGTGTGCTAGACCCCTGTGTAGTAGTGCATAGAATTCTAGCTTTTTTCCTCCTTTCTCTGTATATTGGGCTCAGAGAGTACACTGTGTCTCTGTGAATATGGACCATTAGCATTTACCAACGTGTATCTGTCTACTTTCTCTTGTTTAAAAAAAGAAAAAAAAACTTTAAAAAAATGGGGTTAAAGAAGGTCAGCAAAGGGTGAATTTGAGATGTTTGAGTGGGTTAAGTGGGCATTTCGACAACATGGCTTCTCCTTTGGCATGTTTAATTGTGACATTTGACAGACATCCTTCCAGCTTAAGATGACACTTTTAAAATAAATTCTCTCCTAATGATGACTTGAGCCCTGCCACTCAATGGGAGAATCAGCAGAACTTGTAGGATCTTACTTGGAACTGACATTCTCTATTGTAATTTTGTTCCTGTTTATTTTAAAATTTTCTTTTTGTTTCACTGGAAAGGAAAGATGATGCTCAGTTTTAAATGTGGATAAAGTTGCTTTGTTACAATAAAGCTAAACGTGTACACACACACACACACACACACACACACATTTTAGATTCAGGGAGTACATATGCAGGAGTTTCACATGGATATATTGCATGATACTGAGGTTTGAGCTTTTATTGAACCTTTCACCCATATAGTGAACATAGTTAGTACCCAACAGGTAGTTTTTCAGTCGTTGCTCTCCTTCCTCCCTCCTTTTGGAGTCCCCAGTGTCTATTGTTTCTATCCTTAGGTCCATAGATACCCAGTGCTTAATACCCACTTATAAGTGAGACCATGTGGTATTTGGCTTTCTATTCCTGGGTTATTCCTTCTTAATTTTTTCATCAACCCAGTGGTCATTCTGGAGCACATTGTTTAATTTCTATGTGTTAATTACTCTTGTTATTGATTTCTAGTTTTATTCCACTGTGGTTGGAGAAAATACCTTGTATAATTTCAATTTTTTTTGGGAAAATTTTCAGGCTTGTTTTGTGGCCTAACGTGGTCAGCCCTTGAGAATGATCCATGTGCTGATGAGAAGAATGTGTATTCTGCAGATCTTGGAGGAAATGTTCTGTAAATAGCTGTTAGATCCCATTTGGTGTATAGTGCAGATTAAATCTAATGTTTCTTTGTTGCTTCTCTGTCTTCATGATGTGTTCAATGCTGAAAGTGGGGTGTTGACGTCTCCCGCTATTATTGTATCGGACTGTGCCTCTCTTTAGCTCTAATAAAGTTTACCTTATATGTCTGGGTATTCTAGTGTTGGGTGCATGTATATATTATAATTGTTATATCCTCTTGCTGCAATGGCCCCTATGTCATTATATAGTGACCTTCTTTGTCTCTTTTTATAGTTTAAGGATAAAAAATAGTTGGAATCTATTTTGTCTGGTATAAGTATAGCTACTCCTGCTTTTTTTTTTTTTGTTTTTTGTTTTTGGTTTTTATTTGCATGGAATATCTTCTTCCATCTCTTTATTTTCAGTCTATGTGTGTCTTTATAGGTAGGTGTGTTTCTTGTGGGCAACAGATTATTGGGACTTGTACTTTTAAAATCCATTCAACCATTCCATGTCTTTTGATTGGAGAGTTTAGTCCCTTTACATTCAATGTTATTATTGATAAGTAAGGGCTTACTCTGCCATTTTGTTGTCTGTTTTCTAGTTATTTTGTGGTCTTCTCTCTTTTTTTCCTTTCATCCTGTCTTCCTTTTGGTGAAGGTGATTTTTTTCTGTTGTTATGATTTAATTTCTCGTTTTTCATTTTTTGTGTATCTGTTTTATGTTTTTTTATTTGAGATTATCATGAGGCTTGCAATGCTATCTTATAACGTGTTATTTTAAACTGTTGTCAACTTAACACTGTTGCATAAATAAATAAGCAAATTAACAAACCATCAAAGAAAAAACTAAAACTCCACACTTTTTCATCTCATAGCTTTGTAAGTTTTTATCATTTGTATTTATATCTTGTTGTATTGACTGTGTCTAAAAAAGTTGTTGTAGTTATTATTTTTGATACGCTCATCTTTTAGTCTTTGTACTCAAGATATGAGTAGTTTACACACCACAGTTACGGTGTTATAATATTCTGTGTTTTTCTATGGACTTACTATTACTCATAAGTTTTGCAGCTTTAGATAATTTCTTATAGCTCAATAATGTCCTTTTCTGTTAGATTGAGGCATTCTCTTCAGGATTTCTTGTAGGACAGGTCTGGTGTTGATAAAATCCTTCAGCTTTTATTTATCTGGGAAAGTCTGTGTTTCTCCTTCATGTATAAAGGATATTTTCCCTGGATATACTATTCTAGGGTAAAGGTTTTTTCATTCAGTGCTTTAAATGTGTCACGCCACTGTCTCCTGTCCTGTAACATTTCCACTGAGAAGTCTGCTGCCAGATGTATTAAGAGTTCCTTTGTATGTTGTTTGTTTTTTTTCTCTTGATGCTTTTACGGTCTTTTCTTTATCCTTAACCTTTGGGAATTTGATTATTAAATGTCTTGAGGTAGTCTTCTTTGGGTTAAATTTACTTTGTGTTCTATAATATTCTTCTATTTGAATATTGGTATCCTGCTCTAGGTTTTGCAAGTTCTCTGTTATCCACTTAATTAACTTTCTACTCTGATTTCTCTCTCTTTAATGTTAATACCTCTTAGATTTGCCCTTTTGAGGCTATTTTCTAGATCTCGTAGGTGTGCTTAATTCTTTTTTTCTTTTTCCTTTTGTCTCCTCTGACTGTGTATTTTTCAAATAGCCTGTCTTCAAGCTCACTAATCCTTTCTTCTGCTTGATCAGTTCTGCTATTAAGAGACTCTGATGCATTCTTCACTATGTTAGTTGCATTTTTTAGCTCCAGAATTTCCACCTGATTCTTTTGAAAATATTTCAATCTCTTTGTTACATTTATCTCATAGGATTCTGAGTTTCTTCTCTGTTTTATCTTGGATTTCACTGAGCTTCCACAAAACAATTATTTTGAGTTCTCTGACTGAAAGGTCACATATCTCTGTCTCTCTGGGATTGGTCCGTGGTGCCTTATTTAGTTTGTTTGGTGAGGTCATGTTTTCCTAGATGTTCTTGATGTTTTTGGATGTTTGCTGGTGTCTGGATATTAAAGAGTTAGGTATTTATCATAGTCTTCACCATCTGGGCTTTGTTTTTATTTGTTCTTGGGAAGGCTTTCCAAGTGTTCAAAGGGACTTTGGTGTTGTGATCTAAGTCTTTGGTCACTGTAGCCATGTCTGCATTACGGGCTGTTCCAAACCCAGTAATGCTGTGGCTTTTGTGGACTCATAGAAGTACTGCTTTGCTGGTCTTGGGTAAGATCCAGAGAATTTTCTGGATTACCAGGTAAAGTGTCTTATTCTATCCACTTACTTTCCCTTAAACAACTGGAGTCTCTCTCTCTCTGTGCTGAGCTGCCTGGAGCTGGGGGAAGGGTGACACAAGCACCCTTGCAGTCACCACTACTGGGACTGTGTGTGTTAGACTCAATGCCAGCACAGCACTGGGTCTTGTGCAAGCTCTGCCGTGACCACTGCCTGGTTAGTGCCTATGTTCTTGGGCCTCTACAATCAGCAGCTTGTCAGCTTGTGGTGAATGCTGCCAGGCCTGGGTCTCTCTCTTCAGGGCAGTGGGCTCCCATCGGGTCCAGGGCAGGTCCAGCAATGCCATTGAGAAACCAAGATCTGGAACCAGGGATCTCAGGAGTCCACTTGGTGCTCTACCTGACTGTCGCCAAGCTGGTACCCAAGCTGCAAGACAAAGTTCCCTTTACTCTTTTCTTTCTTGAAGCAGAAGGAGTCTCTCCTCATAACCTCCACACCTGGGAATGTGCTGGGTCACCCCTGAAGCCAACATGGAACTGGTTCCCATCCAAAGCCCACGGCAAGTACTGCCTGGCTGCCACTGCTGATTATTCAGGGACCCAAGGTCTCTTTAGTCAGCAGGTGGGGAATCCTTCCAGGACTGAGTCTTTCCCTTCAGAGTAGTAGGTTTCCTGCTGGCCCAGGGTGTGTCTAGAAATGTCATCTGAGAGTTAGAGCCTGGAATGGGGGCCTGATGGCTCTGTCTGGTGCCCTATTCTACCGTGGCTGAGCTGATATCCAATATGCAAGACAAAGTCTTCTGACATGGTTTGGATCTGTGCCCAAATCTCATGTTCAATTGTAATCCCCAGTGTTGGAGGTGCGGCCTGGTGGGAGGTGATTGGATCAAGGGAGCAGGTTCTCATGAATGATTTGGCACCATCCCCTTGATGCTGTCCTCACAATAGTGAGTTCTCACAAGGTCTGGGTGTTTAAAAGTGCGTAGCACCTTTTTGCTTGATCTCTCCTGCTCCTACTCAAACCATGTAAGACAGCTGCTCCCTCTTTGCCTTCCACCATGATTGGAAGCTTCCTGAGGCCTCTCCAGAAGCAGAAGCTGTTGTGCTTCCTGTAGAGCCTGCAGAACCATGAGCCAGTTAAATCTCTCTCTTTTTTAAAAATAAACTACCCAGTCTCAGATATTTCTTTATAGCAACGTGAGGAGAGAATAATACAGAAAATGGCTGAGCTGGTGTCCAAGATGCAAGACAAAGTCCTCTTTACTCTCCCCTCTTTTGTCCTCAGGCAGAAAGAAGGGTCTCTTTCAGAGTTGTCAGCTGTGCTGCCTAAGGTTTGGAAGAAGTGACACAATCATTTCCTTTGCTGCCCCAGCTGGTGTCTCACTAGGTTATCTGCACCCCAAGTCTGCTGGCTCTAAGCCCAGTCAGCACTGGGACTTGCCTAGAAATTGCATTCCTTGTGTCCTAGACTGTCTTTTAAGCTTATTTAGGACCCCAGAGTGCTTTGCCTTTAGCTCGCAATGATAGGGCTTGCCAGAACTTAGATTCCAACCATGAGCTTAACCTCTGGCTAGGGATGGTCTAAATGTTCCCTCTGTGGGTGCTGGCTGAGTTCTGCCCTATGTTTCTTTCCTCTGTGACTGGGCAGCACTGAGCTCCAATGCAAAGTCCCACAATCACTGGGCTGTCTCTCTCCCAAGCACACAGATTCTCTCTCTGTCCCATATGGTCATTGCTAGGGAATGGGAGAGGAATGGTGTCAGGAATTCAAGACTCTCTTTCCTACTTTGTTCAGTGCCTCTTTCCTGAACATAATGTTAAAATGAGGTACTACGATTGCTTACCTGAATTTTGGTTCTTTTTTTTTTTTTTTGAGACAGTGTCTCGCTCTGTTGCCCAAGTTGGAGTGCAATGTGCGATCTCGACTCACTGCAACCTCTACCTCCCGGGTTCAAGCAATTCTCCTGCCTCAACCTCCTGAGTAGCTGGGATTACAGATGCCCACCACCATGCCTGGCTGACTTTTTTTGTATTTTTAGTAAAGATGGAGTTTCACTATGTTGGCCAGGCTGGTCTCCAACTCCTGACCTCGTGATCCGCCTGCCTCGGCCTCCTAAAGTGTTGGGATTACAGGCATGAGTCACTGCATCCGGCCTGAGTTTTGGTTCTTTATTATTATTATTATTGTTATTATTTTTGAGATGAAATATCACTCTTGTTGCCCAGGCTAGAGTGCAATGGCGTGATCTCCGCTCACCGCAACCTCCACCTCCCGGGTTCAAGCGATTCTCCTGCCTCAGCCTCCCAAGTAGCTGGGATTACAGGCATGTGCCACCAGCCTTGGCTAATTTTTTGTATTTTTGGTAGAGATGGGGTTTCACCATGTTGGTCAGGCTGGTCTCGAACTCCCGACCCTAGGTGATCTGCGTGCCTCAGCCTCCCCAAATGCTAGGATTGCAGGCATGAGCCACTGTGCCCAGCGAGTTTTGGTTCTCATGAAGGTGCTTTTTTTGTGCGTGGATAGTTGTTCAATTTGGTGTTCCTGCAGGGGGATATTCTCTGGAGGCTTCTATTTAGCCATTTTGTTCCACCTCCCTCCCACTCATATGGTTTTTAGTAGGCCTCAGTGTTACCACATGAGGCTTGCCACAGAGCTGCCTTAGCACATGGAAGGTGGCTCCTCCCGCAGAGTGATTCGAGAGAGAGTGAGTTTCCCAGATGGAAGTTGCAGTCTTTTTATTGTGTAATCTTGAAAGTGACATCCCATCTCTTCTGCCGTATATTATTCATTAACAGGGAGTCACTAAATATAGCCCACAGTGAAGAAAAGGGGAACCAAGTTCTATCTCTTGAGGAGAGGAGTATGGAAAAATTTGTGAATGTATCTTCGAAACCACCAAAATCTGTTCTCTGGCCACAAATTATTTATCTTCTTCCCACATGCAAAATACATATCAAAGAATTTGTGGGCATATGTTTAAAACTAGTACACTATTTTACGCTTCACAGAAACTGGGATCTTGAGACATATCTTTCACTGACTCCATTTTACATGCATGGGAGGCCTTAAACTCCCCAGATCTTCCACCATCTGGTTCTAATTACATATTTTCCACCACTTGCTTATGAATCTTGCATACAGTCAAATCAAATGATTCATCACTTCTTTTGTTTCTTCTTTTTTTTTTTTTTTAGAAGATTTACTATATATTTAATTATAACTTTTTGTAAAAAATACAGAACCCCACCGAGGTAGTAGGCTATGCCTGATTCTCTGCTGGCAGCACATTCTGAGGGCAGGCTGGGCTAGGGGAGGGACAGAGCCATCATAATAACCATTCTGTATTGAGCACCTATCGCTTTCTTTTTTTTAACTTTTATTTTAGGTTCGAGGATACATGTGCCGGTTTGTTATACAGGCAAATTTGTGTCATGTGGATTGCTGTGCAGATTACTTCAGCAACAGACACTAAGTCCAGTACCCAATAGTTATTTTTTTCTGATCCTCTCCCTCCTCCCACCTTCCACCCTCAAGTAGGCCCCAGTGTCTGTTGTTCCCTTCATTGTGTCCATGAATTCTCATTATTTACTTTCCACTTATAAATGAGAACATGTGATATTTGGTTTTCTGTTCCTGTGTTAGTTTGCTGAGAATAATGGCCTCTAGCTCCATTCACATTCCCACAAAAGATATGATCTCGTTCTTTTTTATGGCTGCATAGTATTCCATGTTGTATGTGTACCACATTTTCTTTATCCAGTCTATCACTGATGGACATTTAGGTTGATTCCATGTCTTTGCAGTTGTGAATAGTGCAGCAAAAGACACATATGCGTGCATGTGTCTTTATGGTAGAATGATTTATATTTCCCTGGGTGTGATATGGTCTGTATCTGTGTCCCTGTTAAAATCTTTTTAAAAAATATTTTATTTGACATTTAATATTAATAGGATTTTAGATGCAAAACCACTTGTCAGAATAACAGTTTCAGTTTTAGCATCCATAATTATTCATTGATTCACGTATTAAGAATTCCAGCATCATGGCTTTGATAGTCTCTTGGCTTTTATAGTGTTCCTTTTTTTAAAAATTATACTTGTCATTCTGGGTACATGTGCAGATCATGCAGGATTGTTACATAGGTATACACATGCCATGGTGGTTTGCTGCCTCCATCCCCCTATATTAGGTATTTCTCCTAATGTTATCCCTCCCCAATCTCCCCACCCCACCCCCTGCTATCCCTCCTTTAGCCCCCACCCCCCAACAGACCCCAGATGTTTCCCTCCCTGTGTCCATGTGTTCTCAGTCTTCAACACCCACTTATGAGTGAGAACATGTGGTGTTTGGTTTTCTGTTCTTGTGTCAGTTTGCTGAGAATGATGGTTTACAGCTTCATCCATGTCCCTAAAAAGGACATGAACTCATCCTTTTTTATGGCTGCGCAATATTCCATGGTGTATATGTGCCACATTTTCTTTATTAAGTCTATCCTTGATGGGCACTTGAGTTGGTTCCAAGTCTTTGCTATTGTAAACAGTGCTGCAATGAACATACGTGTGCACGTGTCTTTATAATAGAATGATTTATAATCCTTTGGGTATATACCCAGTAATGGGATTGCTGGGTCAAATGGTATTCTATTTCTCGAATCTTGAGGAATTGCCACACTGTCTTCCCCAATGGCTGAACTAATTTACACTCCCACCAACAGTGTAGAAGGGATCCTATTTCTCTACATCCTCTCCAGCATCTGTTGTCTCCAGATTTTTTAGTGATCGACATTCTAACTGGCATGAGATGGTATCTCAATGTGGTTTTGATTTGCATTTCTCTAATGATCAGTGACAATGAGCACTTTTTCATATGTTTGTCAGCTGCATAAATGTCTTCTTTTGAAAAATGTCTATTCATATCCTTTGCCCACTTTTTGATGGAGTTGTTTTTTTCTTGTAAATTTGTTTTAGTTCTTTGTAGATTCTGGATATTAGCCCTTTGTCAGATGGGTAGCTTGCAAAAAATCTTTCTCATTCTGTTGGTTGCTGGTTCACTCTAATGATTGTTTCTTTTGCTGTGCAGAAGCTCTGGAGTTTAATTAGACCCATTTGTCTATTTTGGCTTTTGTTGCTATTGCTTTTGGTGTTTTAGTCATGAAGTCCTTGCCTATGCCTATGTTCTGAATGGTATTGCCTAGGTTTTCTTCTAGGGTTTTTATAGTGTTAGGTCTTATGTTTAAATCTTTAATCCATCTGGAGTTAATTTTTGTATAAGGTGTAAAGAAAAGATCGTTTCAGCTTTCTGCACATGGGTAGCCAGGTTCCCCAACATCATTTATTAAACAGAGAATGTTTTTGTCAGGTTTACCAAGGATCAGATGGTTGTAGATGTGTGGCCTTGCTTCTGAGGTCTCTGTTCTGTTCCATTGGTCTGTATCTCTGTTTTGGTACCAGTACCATGCTGTTTTGATTACTGTAGCCTTGCAGTAAAGTTTGAAGTCAGGTAGCATGATCCCTCCAGCTTTGTTCTTTTTGCTTAGGATTGTCTTGGCTATGTGGACTCTTTTTTGGTTCCATATGAAGTTTAAGGTGGTTTTTTCCAGTTCTGTGAAGAAGGTCAATGGTAGCTTGATGGGGATAGCATTGATTCTATAAATTACTTTGGACAGGATGGCCATTTTTGCAATATTGATTCTTTCTAACCATGAGCATGGAATGTTTTTCCATCTGTTTGTGTCCTCTCTTATTTCCTTGAACAATGGTTTGTAGTTCTTCTCGAAGAGGTCCTTCACGTCCTTTGTTAGTTGTATTCCTAGGTATTGTATTCTCTTTGTAACGATTGGGAATGGCAATTCGCTCTTGATTTGGCTCTGTTATTGGTGTACAGGAATGCTTGTGATTTTTGCACAGTGATTTTGTATCCTGAGACTTTGCTGAAGTTGCTTATCATCTTAAGGAGATTTTGGGTTGAGATGATGGGGTCTTCTAAATATACAATCATGTCATCTGCAAATAGAGACAATTTGACTTCCTCTTTTCCTCATTGAATACCTTTTATTTCTTTTTCTTGCCTAATTGCTCTGGCTAGAACTTCCAATACTATGTTGAATAGGAATGGTGAGAGAGGGCACCCTTGTCTAGTGCCAGTTTTCAGAGGGAATGCTTCCAGTTTTTGCCCATTCCATATGATATTGTCTGTGGGTTTGTCGTAAATAGCTTTTATTATTTTGAGATACATTCCATCTATACCTAGTTTATTGAGAGTTTTTAGTGTAAAGGGCTATTGAATTTTGTTGAAGGCCTTCTCTGCATCTATTGAGATTATCATGTGGTTTTGTCTTTGGTTCTGTTTATGTGATGGATTACATTTATAGATTTGAGTATGTTGAACCAGCCTTGCAACCCCAGGACGAAGCCTACTTGATCATGATGAATAAGCTTTTTTGATGTGCTGTTGCATTTGGTTTGCCAGTATTTTACTGGAGACTTTTGCATCAATGTTCATCATGAATATTGGCCTGAAATTTTCTTTTTTAGTTGTGTCTCTGCCATGTTTTGGTATCAGGATGATATTGGTCTCATAAAATGAGTTAGGGTGGATTCTCTGTTTTTCTATTGTTTGGAATAGTTTCAGAAGGAGTGGTACCAGCTCCTCTTTGTATGTCTGGTAGAATTCAGCTATGAACCTGTCTGGTCCTCGACTTTTTTTGGTTGGTAGGCTATTAATTGCTGCCTCAATTTCAGACCTTGTTATTGGTCTATTCAGGGATTCAACTTCTTCCTGGTTTAGTCTTGGGAGGGTGTAAGTGTCCAGGAATTTATCCATTTCTTCTAGATTTACTGGTTTATGTGCATTGAGTTGTTTGTAGTAATCTCTGATGGTAGTTTGTATTTCTGTGGAATTGGTGGTGATATCCCCTTTATCATTTTTTATTGCATCTGTTTGATTCTTCTCTGTTTTCTTTTTTATTAGTCTGGCTAGTGGTCTGTCTATTTTGTTGATCTTTTCAGAAAACCAGCTCCTGGATTCACTGATTTTTTTTTTGCAGGGTTTTTTGTGTCTCTATCTCCTTCAGTCCTGCTCTGATCTTAGTTATTTCTTGTCTCCTGCTAGCTTTTGAATTTGTTTGATCTTGCTCCTCTAGTTCTTTTAATTGTGACAATAGGGTGTCAATTTTAGATCTTTCCTCACTTCCCATGTGGGCATTTAGTGCTTTAAATTTCCCTCTAGACACTGCTTTAAATGTGTCCCAGAGATATTTAAATGAAGACACAAGGTATGTTATGTCTTCATTCTCATTGGTTTCGAAGAACATCTTTGTTTCTGCTTTTGTTTCATTATTTATCCAGTAGTCATTCAGAAGCAGGTTATTCAGTTTCCATGAAGTTGTGCGGTTTTGAGTGAGTTTCTTAATCCTGAGTTCTAATTTAATTGCACTGTGGTCAGAAAGATTGGTTGTTATGATTTCTGTTCTTTTGCATTTGCTGAGGAGTGATTTACTACCAATTATGTGGCCAATTTTAGGGTAAGTGTGATGTGGTGCTGAGAAGAATGTATGTTCTGTGGATTTATGGTGGGGAGAGTTCTGTAGATGTGTATTAGGTCTGCTTGGTCTACATCTGAGTTCAAGTCCTGTGTATCCTTGTTAATTTTCTGTCTCATTGATCTGTCTAATATTGACAGTGGAGTGTTAAAGTCTCCCAATATTATTGTGTGGGAGTCTAAGTCTCTTTGTAGGTCGTTAAGAACTTACTTTATGTACCTGGGTGCTCCTGTATTGGGTGCACATATATTTAGGACAGTTAGCTCTTCTTGCACTGATCCTTTTACCATTATGTAATGCCCTTCTTTGTCTCTTTTGGTCTTTGTTGGTTTAAAGTCCATTTTATCAGAGACTAGGATTGCAACCCCTGCTTTTTTTTGTTCTCCATTTGCTTGGTAAATATTCCTCCATCTCTTTATTTTGAGTCTATGTGTGTCTTTGTCCATGAGATGGGTCTCCTTAATACAGCACACCAGTGGGTCTTGACTCTTTATCCAATTTGCCAGTCTGTGTCTTTTTATTGGGGCATTTAGCCCATTTACATTTAAGGTTAATATTGTTATGTGTGAATTTGATCCTGCCATTTTGATACTAGCTAGTTATTTTGCCCATTAGTTGATGCACTTTCTTCATTGCATCAATGCTCTTTACCATTTGGTACATTTTTGCAATGGCTGGTATTGGTTGTTCCTTTCCACATTTAGTGCTTCCTTCAGGAGCTCTTGTAAAGCAGGCCTGGTGGTTACGAAATCTCTCAGCAATTGCTTGTTTGTAAAGGATTTTATTTCTCCTTCATTTATGAAGCTTAGTTTGGTTGGATATGAAATTCTGGGTTGAAAGTTCTTTTCTTTAAGGATGTTGAATATTGGCCCCCAGTCTTTTCTGGCTTGTAGGGTTTCTGCCAAGAGATCTGCTTTGAGTCTGATGGGCTTCCCCTTGTGGGTAACCTGGCCTTTCTCTCTGGCTGCCCTTAGCATTTTTTCCTTCATTTCAACCCTGGTGAATCTGACGATTATGTGCCTTGGGGTTGCTCTTCTTCAGGAATATCTTTGTGGTGTTCTCTGTATTTCCTGGATTTGAATATTGGCCTGCCTTGCTAGGTTGGGGAAGTTCTCCTGGGTAGTATCCTGAAGAGTTTTTCACCTTGGATTCATTCTCCCTGTCACAGTGATCAAACGTAGATTAGGTCTTTTCACATAATCCCATATTTCTTGGAGGCTTTGTTCATTTCTTTTCACTCTTTTTTTCTCTAATCTTGCCTTCTGGTTTTATTTAATTGAGCTGATCTTCAGTCTCTGATAGCCTTTCTTCTGCTTGAGGAATTCATCTATTGAAACTTGTGTATGCTTCATGAAGTTCTCGTGCTGTGTTTTTCAGCTCCATCAAATCATTTATGTTCTTCTCTAAGCTGGTTATTCTAGTTAGCATTTGATCTAACCTTGTTTCAAGGTTCTTAGTTTCTTTCTTTGGGTCAGAACAAGTTCCTTTAGCTCAGAGAAGTTTGTTATTACCCACCTTCTGAAGCCTGCTTCTGTTAATTCATCAAACTTGTTCTCCATTCAGTTTTGTTCCCTTGTTGGTGAGGAGTTGTGATCCCTTGGAGGAGGAGAAGCATTCTGGTTTTTAGGGATTTTAGCCTTTTTGTGCTGATTTCTTCCCATCTTCATGGATTTATCTACCTTTAGTCTTTGAAGTTGGTGACTTTCAGATAAGTGGATGTCTCTGAGTGGATGTCCTTTCTGTTGATGTTGAAGCTATTTCTTCCTGTTTTTTAGTTTTCCTTCTATCAGTCAGGCCTCTCTGCTGCAGGACTGCTGGAGGTCCACTCCAGACCCTACTTGCCTGGGAATCACCCACAGGGACTACAGAATAGCAAGGATTGCTGCCTGTTCCTTCCTCTAGTAGCTTCATCCCAGAAGGACACCCACCAGATGTCAGCCAGAGCTCTCCTGTATGAAGGGTCTCTTTGGATGTATGGGAGTAAGGGAGCCGCTTGAGGAAGCAATCTGTCCCTTATCAGTGCTCAAGTGCTGTGCTGGGAGCTTCATTGCTCCTTTCAGAGCTGCTGGGCAGAGACATTTAAGTCTGCTGGAGTGTGACTCACAACCACCCCTTTGCCCAGGTGTGCTGTCCCAGGAAGGTGGGGCTTTATTTCTAAGTCCCTGATGGACTGCTGCCTTTTTTTCAGAGATGCCCTGCCCAGCAAGGAGGGAGTCTAGTCACAGTCTGCCTGCAGAGGCCTTGCTGAGCTGTCGTGGGCTCTGCCCTTCTGCTGTGTAAACTTCCTTGCAATTTGTTTACACAGGCAAGTTTAGAACTGCCTTGGTAATGGCAGACTGCCTCAATAATGGCGGACACTCCTCCCCACAGTAAGCTCAACTGTCCCAGGTCGAACTGAAACTACTGTGCTGGCTGCAAAAATCTCAAGCCAGTGGGTTTGAGTTTGCTGGTCTTTGCGGGGGTGGGACCCGCCGAGCCAGACCACTTGGTTCCCTGCCCTCAGTCACCTTTTTCTCAGGGTAATGGGCAGCTCTGTCTCTCAGGTGTTCCAGGCACCGGCTAAAAGGGCCGCCCAGGTTTGTGCTGGAAACCCAGAGCCTACCAGCCCCAGTGGGAATATCCTAGTCTGTGGGCTGTAAAGACCGTGGGAGAAGCACAGTATCTGAGTCAGAGTGCCAGAGTGTCTGGAAAAAGTCCCCAATGGCCTCCATTGGGTAGGAGGGGGGCCTCCTGCCTATTGCACTTCCCAGGTTAGATAGTGCCCCACGCTGCCTCAGTTTGCCCTCCTTGGGCTACACCCATTGTCCATCCAGTCCCATTGAGTTGAACCTGGTACCTTGGTTGGAAATGTGGAGATCACTCGCCTCTGTGTCGCTCTCGCTGGGAACTGCACCGTGGAGCTGTTCTTATTTGGCCATCTTGGCAGAAGTCCTCCCCCTTAGAACCCGGGTTCCAACAAGATGCTTAGCTCCGTTCATCAACTTGCGGACACCAAGCGCCACCCCCTGTTCAAATCTTATGTTGAATTGTAATCCCTAATGTTGGAAGTGGGCCTGGTGGGAGGTGATTGGATCATGGAGGTGGATTTCCCCTGAGTGCTGTTCTTGTGATGCTAGTGAGTGAGGTGTAGTGAGATCTGGTTGTTTAATAGTGGGTGGCACCTCCCTCCACACTTCCGTTTGCTCTGGCCATGTAAGACATGCTTGCTTCGCTTTCACCTTCTGCCATGATTTTAAGTTTCCTGAGGCTTCCCCAGAAGATGAGTGGAAGCCGCTACGCTTCCTGTACAGCCTGCAGAACCATGAGCCAATTAAACCTCTTTTCTTGATAAATTATGCAGTCTTAGGTATTTATTGATAGCAATGTGAGAATGGACTAATACAGGGTATATACCCAGTAATGGGATTGGTGGGCCAAATGGTATTTGTTTTAACATCTTTGAGGAGTCACCACACTGCTTTTCACAATGGTTGAACTAATTTACACTTCCACCAACAGTGTATAAGTGTTCCTTTTAGTCCACAACCTTGCCAACATCTGTTGATTTTTGACTTTTGAATAATAGCCATTCTGACTTGTGTGAGATGGTGTCTCATGGTTTTGATTTGCATTTCTCTAATGATCAGTATTCACTTTTTCTTAATCACACCCTAAATCTACCATTCTCTGTACCTTCATGGGTGCTCTTACCCCAGGCTGGAAAGTACTTCCTGATGTTTCTTTTCAAATCCTCCACAAAAGACCTACCCTTATTTTCATATATTACCTTCTTCATAAAGTATGGCAGCTCCCCCAAAATAGAATGCATTTACTGTGTTTGATTGTAAATTGCTAGAGGGTAGGAAGCATACCTTGCTCATCTCTGTATCCTTCAAAACAGGATGCCTATTTCATTGGGCCCAACATGTGTTCAACAAATGCTGAATGAAATGATGTGAAGATAGTACTTCTTCATTTTAGGTGAGACAAACACTTTGAGTTGTTTGTGCCCATGTGATACATCAACATCATTATAGCATTTTATTTGTTGCATAAGATCTGTCTTTCAAAGACATAATCCAAATTATAGAAGGCATCCTGACAGAATTGGTGGTAAATTTTTCAAATTATATCAACATCTTTAAAGTCCCAGCCTTCTGTGGCTATATTGAAGGGCCAAGAAAAATTCAGTTACCTACCAACGTGTTGATGCACCATAAAGATCCCACAATGTGAGGAATAGGGAACCGTACCGTTAGGCTGACTTCAGCTATGCTGTGGTTGGATATCTTGCTTAATTTTTAAAGCTTTTTTCTTGCTCCCCACACACTTTATTCCCACCTCTTTTCCTCTCTTTCTTATTCTCTCCTCCCTCCTTCTCTCCCTCCCTCCCCTCACCCCTCCCTCCCTCCCCTTTTCTCCACTCCTTCCTTCCTTCCTTCCTTCCTTCCTTCCTTCCTTCCTTCCTTCCTTCCTTCCTTCCTTCCTTCCTTCCCTTCCCTCCCTCCTTCTCTTTCCTTTCTTTCTTCCTTCCTTCTTCACATCACTTTCTTATCTGACCTCTCCTTGTTCTTCTTGCCCTAAACTCTGTGAGCGTCTATATGAGTATTCTGGTGGGATTACTGTCCTTTAAATTAGTCAAATAGAAGTTCTGTATTTGCTAATAGCTTTATTGAGGTATAATTTACATACCATAAAATTCAACCATTTTAAGTGCACAATTCAGTGATTTTCAGTAAATTTAGAGTTGTTCAACCATTACCACAATCTAGTTTTTAGAACATTTCCATGACCCTAAAAAGGTCTCCAGGGCTAACTGAATTTTTTTAACGTATATTTTTAACCTTTTTTCTCTTGTTATAAAAACAATACAAAGTTACTTTATAGGTTGGCATGGTGGCACACGCCTGTAGTCTCAGCTACTAGGTAGGATGAGGTAGGGAGGATTACTTGAGGCCAGGTGTTTGAGACTGTAGCGAGCTATAATCATGCCTGTGAATAGCCATTGCCCTCCAGCCTGGGCAACATTGAATGACCCCATTTCTTAAAATTACTTTAGATAATTTCGAAAACACATAAAAGCAGAAAGAAATAAATAAAAAAAATCTTCATTCCACAATCTACAGACAACCACTGCTATTTTGGCATATGTTTAATCGCTCTCTCTACGTATTTGTTTCCATCTTAGAAGGGAGGTTGATTCAATCTGGGGACACAGCAGCTATATATTAACAACTTAAAAAGAGCAGGGAGGAGCTCTTTCTATATTATTGATTTAAAAGAGTTTGACTGGACTTTTGCCTTTCAAATTACCACATTCTATATCTATTGATGTGTGAGGGTAAGAAGCCAATTAAGGCAATTGCTCCTGGACCAAACTGAGGGTCAGGCTGCTATTTCTTGAGGCCCAATGACAAGATGCAGATGAACCGAGGAGAAAGAGAGTTTTTATTTCTGTAACCAGTTACAGGGAGAAGGCCCGGAAAATACTGCTAGGCCAACCTCAAAATTACAAAGCTTTCCAGAGCTTATATACCTTTTAAGTTATATGTCTATGTGTAAGTGTGCATTCATCTAAAGACACAAGTGATTAACTTCCTTTAATCTATAACGAAGATCTGAGTCCTGAAGACCTTCCTGTGGAACCTCAGTAAATTTACTTAATCTAAATGGATCCAGGTGCTGAGGTGATTTACCCTCCTACTAAATCATGAAGGTTTGGGGAGTTCCTTCAGACCCCCAATAAACTTATTTGTAGAGGCCTGTGAAGTTCTTCAGACCCACAATAAAACTTGTTTAATTCTAAATGGGTCCTGTTAAGAATTCCTTCGTTATCTTGCCATGCTTTAAAGATAAGGAAAGGCCTAGGCAAAACTCTTGGTGGGTTTTTATTACCTTCCAGCCTTTATACAGGGGACTTGCTCTTTCAGCTTTTAATTAACCACTCAGTACTGAAACAGTTATTATGGAGGCCTGCTTTAGTGAGACCTGGTCTGCTACACAATGACTAGGCCACTATGGGCTGGGGATTGCAATGTGGGTTTGAAATGTGTATGGGTGGGAGTAGCTAAGTGGGGGAGCGGTTACAGTAATAGCTGCCTGGAGGCCTCGTGGAGGACCCTAAATACAGAACTTTGTACTGGGGTGGTAGGAGGGTTGTGAGCTTGAGAAAATCAGAACTCTTGCAAGGAAAAACCAAGCTGGGCTTCAAGGGCCTGCCTTGGGACTCCCTGGCATTTCTTTGAGGGGAAAGTTGAAAAAAAGGGAAGGGGTATGATAATGCAGAAGGGGATGAGCATGTCAGGAGATTTCTGATGAGCCTGGTAGAGTGCATTGCCCAGACTAAGTGTCAACCCATATACTAGTAAATGGGCAACAGAGCCAAGATGTGGAACTGGATAATCAAGTTGGGGGTGGGGCTACGGGGATTGCCTATTCCTGGCTGGGAAGTTGGCAGTTTCTGTTTTGCACTAGCAAAGAAGTTGATTGGTAGGTAAACAAGTGAAGATTCTGGAATATGTTGATGACTTTCTGTGGTCTCCCATAACTTTTACAAGAAAGAGAAAAGCATCTCGACTTGGAGCTATTTCAAAGCTTTACTATTAGAAGTTTTTGGCCTGCAGCCAGCAATTCAAGTTGTCTGAGAGTCAGGAAATTACGACACATGCAGGCTTGAAAAAGTGGAATTCTTTGTCAGAGGCTAAAGTGAAAAGAGAGGCAGAAAACAAAGTTGATAATGAAACTGGGGCCTGGGAAGCCTCCACATTCCTGCCTCTCCTGGGCATCTTCTGCTGTATGTTCCCTGCCTGACAAAGGTTTAGAACATGCAGCCTGGGAATACAGAGTATCTGGGCCTCCCTAAGTCTGCTATTGTTTTGCATTTCTCTAAACCAGATGTTAAGATGGAGGCCATTAAGCTGGAGGCTGCAGGACAGGCGGAGCACTGAGATTTGTTTCTGAAAGACAGAAAGTTTTAGTTTAGGTTCTGGATGCATGGACCATGACTTGATAAAATCTCTGACTTTGGTTCTTAGCTTGAAAAATTCATTGAATGAATATAAGCAAAAACTCATCAAGCTTTTAAGTAAGTTGTGTTGCAGGAAAAACCTTAAATCCAATGAGTAAAAGTCATGATCTCCTATTTAACCGAAAAGGTGATTTTCAGGTCTCCACACCTGCAACAATGAGGAATAAACTGCTAAAAGATGCAGTCCCTTAAAGGAGACTCCGCTACTGATGCCCACCTCAGAGGTAGATATGAAAGATGGTGAGAGCAAAACAAGGGGCAGCTGGTTTTCTAGGGCAGGGAGTTACTGAAATTCCTCTCAAAGAGGGTATATTATTGCTTATGATACTTGTGTTTTTTCTTCCCTTCTCTTTTTTCAAATGGGGGCTGTTTCTCTAATGTGGTCCTGTTGTCTGTGCAACTTCATACACTAGGTCTGTTGGTTGTAGTTAAATAACCCATCTGTAGACTTCCAGACAATAAGGAGCTGCATTTAGACTTGTCTGGGAGACATCACCCAGATATCTTGAGTATGATAAGTTAATGAGACTCAGCATTGGAGTATATTCTTTTGGGAAGGGGGTAAGTGCAATTTCGGCAGTCCACGGGACAGTTGCATAATGTTGGAAGGATACATTTTAAAATCTGTATGTACAAGGAAAAAAAAGGTGTATAAATGCTGGGACGTCAAGTGGGGGAGTGTAGTGAGTCCCAGTGACATTATTTGATACAACTGTGACTGAAACGAGAATTCGTTGCCTGTACTTTTCAATTAATGAAGCCAACAAATTCTCTTTTTAGTTTAAGTGGGTTTGAGTTGGTTTTACTATCACTTTCAACCACAAATGCTTGACCACATATATATTTAATAAATATCTATTTATTAAATATATATTTATTTAATAACCACAACACATATATATTTAATAAATGTTATGTCAAAGTCTTGTATGTGGATAATTTATAAGGGTAAATGGTGTTAACTAAGAAAGTACATATATATATTTACAAGTAGGTCAATTTATTTTCTAGAATGTAAACTACCTTTTATAAATTTATCCTTTGAAGAGAGGGAATATTTCCTGCCGTGTTTACATCCAAGCATCCAATAATGTTAATTTGTGGTTAATATATTTCTCAGATTTTAGTCAATGATCATTGCCATATGTGGGTTTTAAACATAAGGGGATCAGATAGGTAAAGTATTTTTAAATTTATATTATTGGTAGATACATTTGGGTGTGGTAATCCAGTCTTGATGGTCATGTAGACTTGCTGGACATAGTAGATTAGATCCTTGGCCAAAGAAATTTTACAAGTTTCCTGAGCTATAAACTTTGCCTATGCAATTCACAAATATCTAATAATATCTAAATGATGTGTTATTACCGACAGATAATTACTTGAACTCAATTAACATTTTCTGGTAAGTCATTAAATGTTACTTTTCTGTGCAGGCATTGAAGACTTTGTTTCACACACTTATTCATTACAATGCACTGATTTTTTTGTTTGTTTTTTTTGAGACAGAGTCTCACTCTGTCGCCCAGACTGAAGTGCAGTGGCGCAATCTCAGCTCACTGCAACCTCCACCTCCCAGATTCAAGCAATTCTCCTGCCTCAGCCTCCTGAGTAGCTGGGATTACAGGCTCATGCTACCATGCCTAGCTAATTTTGTATTTTTAGTAGAGACGGGAGGGATTTCACCATGTTCGCCAGGCTGGTCTTGCACTCCTGATCTCAGGTGATCTTCCCGCCTTGGCCTCCCAAAGTGTTGGGATTACAGGCGGCGTGAGCCACTGTGCTGGGCCTACAAGTCACTGTTAATAGTATTATTTTCAAAGAGCTCCTCCAGTAGTTTGCATAGTATTTTCCCCAACTTCCAAAGTTTTGATACTGTTTTCCCCTCTCTCTTTCCCCCAGTTAAAAAAAAAAAAAAAAAAAAAAAAAAAAACCTCTTCTTGATAATTTTAATGTGGTTTTGGGAAGGAACAAAAGTAGATGTGTTTTTAATCTATAATTTTAACTTGGAAGGTACCATTATGTATTAAAAGTACTGGGCCTGAGATTAGGTACACAATAAATGATAGTGACTATTATTGGGGGAGGAGGGTGGTGGAGCATCAGGAATCAACTAATGCAGGGGTCCCCAACATCCTGAAACTGGACCTCACAGCAGGAGGTGAAGAGTGGGCCGGCGAGCATTGCTGCCTGAGCTCTGCCTCCTGTCAGATCAGTGGTGGCCTTAGATTCTCAAAGGAACATAAACCCTATTGTGAACGGTACATGTGAGGGATCTAGGTTGCGCATTCCTTATGATAATTTAACTAATTCCTGATGATCTGAGGTAGAATAGTTTCATCCCCAAACCATCTCTCCATGACACCCACAACAGTCCCCTAGTCTGTGGAAAAATCGTCTTCCATGAAACCAATCCCTTGTGCCAAAATGATTGGGGACCGCTGAACTAATGTTATTTCATTTTCTTTTTACTTTTTTGAGACAGGGTTTCACTCTGTCACCCAGGCTGGAGTGCAGTGGTGGGATCCCAGCTCACTGTAGCCTCTACCTTCAGCCTCCCACCTCAGCCCCCTGAACCATTGGGACCATGGGTGTGCACCTCCACACTCAGCCAATTTTTGTATTTCTTGTGGAGACAAGGTTTCATGCCATGTTGCCCAGGCTGATCTCAAACTCCTGACATTAAGCAATGTGTCTGCTTCAGCCTCTCAAAGTGCTGGGTTTACTGGCCTGAGCCACTGTCTCATACCTATTTCATTCATTTCTTTGTATGAGATTGGACTTCTGATAAATGTGGATGAATCTATTGTACTCAGTACATGAGAAATGCACACAGATTTTATGCTTTAATGATTTTTTTTTTTTGGTTCTTTATTTCCTCTTAGTTTTGTAACGAGTATTTGAAAATCCTGAGCTTGTCTTGGCAGAAATACAAGGAAACAGGAGCCCCTCAGGCATTGTTGACATTATTAGGGGCATGTTTGTGGTGTCAGACCTGGTCCCTACCATTAGTTATGCTCCAGTAGAGCCCTCATCTTAGTTGTACATTTGCATATTATTTCAAAGTCCTTTTTCCTCTATTTTTGTTTTACTGAATTAATTTCATCATTGTGGCTTCATGCCATGATAAAAATATTTTCTGTGGAGCTGGAGGAAGTTTTGGTGAACACCAAAGCATATTCAATTCCACAGTAATTTACTGTTAGGCATCTTTCAAATACCAGCCCCTGTAGGAGAAATGTCAGTATGAAGATGGAACCCCTGCTTCCATCTTTAGTAGAAAGGGTAAGGTAAAATGCATAGGTCACTAAAATGAGGCAGACAATAGCAAAATAAATACCATTATATAAAGTACTTACTCTGTGCCAGTCACTCTTTTAAAAGTATTTTAAAAGTAGTCAATGCATTAAAACCCTAAACAATTATTATTATCTTCATTTTCATATGGGGAAACTAAGACGCAGAGAGGGTAAGTGAATTTGTCCAAGTTACAAAAGTAGTAAGTGGCAGATCTGGGGTTTGATCTACTTGATCCAGAGAGTCCAATTCTAGTATTGGCATGCTACCTTGCCTAGGTTAAACCAAGTTCTATTTATTTGAATGTTCCTATTCAAATGAAGAAGTGATTCTGTGTGCTCATGCATGAGTGTACATGTATGTGTGTGTATGTAGGGAATAGAAATGGGATTTAAAAGAGGTTGTGGCATTTGAGCTATATCCTTTTGGTTTTATGTCATTTTATGTTCAATTTGTTACGTCTTGATCTTTCAATTTGTTACATCTTGATCTTTTCTTAACATTCCAGTTATACTCTGCTTGAAACACTTCAAAACTCCTGGACCTCTGATTTCTCCAATTAGCTATCCAAGTCTAACCCAGTCAGAACTTTACAACTTTGGATCAAAAGCCTTTGCAAAATTTCAAGGGCAAATTGGAGGTACATTATATTCTGCAGAGAAGGTTATAGGTTTTCAGAACAGAATGAAAGTCACCAAGTCTATGACCACACATTATAATGTTGGTTTTGTGATGGGAATTAACACACCAGTTCATCACTGTGTCCAATTGACTTCATGTCCCAAATCACTTGGGCTCTGTTTTTTGAGGTCAGCTGAGTAAAGATAGGGAGTGTGAAAGATGTGTATGTGTCTTTGTTGGATAATAGGTGAAATGAGGATGTCTGCTTGGGCCTAAGCTGTGGCCAGCGCTGTAATTCACAAGTATCTGGGAAAGGCTGATTAACAGGCACCAAAACTCTGTAAGCAGGAGAGTTAGAGGAGGAGTAAGGACAAGAGAGCTCAAGGATGATTACTGGAAAATACTGGAGAGGACAGCATGGTGTCTGTCTTGGACATGCTCTGCAAAATGTTCCCATGGGCTCATGGTGGAGGTCTGTGGTTGGCGGGACGATTGGCAGCAGGCGTGACAGGCTTTTCCACAAAGAGTTTGTAACACGGGCACAATGTCATCTAGGTGCCTATGTGAGGAAGTGTGACCAAAGTGGGGAAAAGGACATTTCTTTCCCTTCCTGTGGTACTCAGTGTAATATCAGTGTGGTAAGAATCCCAGAGGAAGGATGGTGGGGGCAGAACCAGCTCAAGTGGCAGAGACCTGACTGACTTGTTTGCAGGTTATATGAGACACATTAGAGTATTCCTGAAAATAACTTACAGGAGCCTCGAATGTAGGAACAGCGGGGAGTGAGATGTGACTCATGTTGTGCAGAATACCCACCAGCTAGTACAGCCCAGGAAATGCGTTATGTAGTCACTTCTCTTTTACTCGTTCTTGAATGAATTCTGCTTCATGAATTTATTGGTGTTAGATGACTCCAACACAAGTTAGCCACTGCTCTAAATTCATAGGATATGCTGTTTTCTTGGTGTGGGTTCCCCCAGGAAGAAGGTATTGAAATAAGATTCTATGCAAATTCTATAGTTCATTAATAAGTTAGTTCTAAGAAACGCTGGTAGGGGAATGGGGAAGTGAGACAGAAATAAGAAGGTAGCCAGTAAAAGGTGAGTTATTAAGCCAGTTGCTACTGCAGGAAACTGGTGGAAACCCTGGGAAGCATTGTAGAACACACACCTCAGAGTCATCCCACTTGAGGGGCAAGGGAGCTGGGGTATGTATCCATCCACTTTTGTCAGTCATTGGTTGAGGGCTCTTCCCAGGGGGATCGTAATCCTTCAGCACTTCCAGCAGAAAGAGGGCAGACAATTGCAGGTGCTGGCGGTTGAAAGCCAGGTTGGTGTGTGTGCAAATGCTAAGTGTGGGGAACATGGGTGGGGTACAGACAGTGGCTGCTATTCCTATGGCATGCAAGTTCTTCTAGCTTGTTTGTTCCACTGTTTGACAATGTCTTGGTCATGCAATGGAGTTCCTTGCTGATTGACACCTGAAAACTTCTCATATCTCCCCTGCTCCTGGTTCCATTTGGTGTTCCCCTTCCTCCTTGTTGTTCTACTTCACTGAGTTCATCACCATTTGCCTTGGCTTTGGTATCAAAGACCTGTGGAAAGCTATTTCCTTTTTTGAGCCTCAATTTTTCCAATCTCAAGGTTAGAATAATAACATATTTTTAGGATTTTTGTGTGCATCGAAGAATGTATTAACATACAGAAAAAACCATATGTCATAACGTGTGTTCGAGAAGGGCTAGCTGTCTTTCTATTGCCATAGTTGTTTTTCTCTTGGCAAAGCCAAGAACTCGTGGAGACCTTATCTTTCTGGGAATCCTCCCCCCAAAAAACTGAGATATATAGATAAAGGCTATGTTTGTCCTCTAAAAGAAAACTATGCATTTTATTATCTTTCTAATAATTTTATCTAAGTTAAAATGATTACATGTTTACTTTTGATATTTAGTGGAGCAATACAAGACATACTTCACTGAAGTCTAAGCATATAGCATTTACTTTGCGTCTTTCATCACCTATCCCAGAAATAATTAGGGTAGGAAGCAGGGACTCAGCTTTATGAAGCTACAGGCATGACTCTGCCTTGAGCTGAGGCCAATCTGAGAGTCATTAATGTGTCTCAGGAGACTGTGATGTTTTGTATTCCTGACCTTTTGTGCCCTGTGGTATCTATGTTGGCTGTTGATTCCAGCGTTACCGTTTTTTGCTCTGAATTAAGATGGAGGGAAGAAGAGAGAAAAGGGAGAAAGGAGAGCTGCTATTGTTGGCTTCTGAATAATCTGTAATTTTCATAATGACACGTTCCTAGATATACTCATGCTGTACATAATTGCAAAGTACTCTTACATACATTTGAAAATCTAATCCTCATAACTACCCCATAAAATGAGCAGGAAGAAAGATCTATCAAGAGCAGATTTGTGCTAATTCTTTGGAGGAAGCAACTGTGAAGAAAAGGAAACTCAGAGAAAAATAGGATGCCATGCACAAAGGTGGTAAAGTTAAGCCTTTCGTTTGCTTAGGGAAAAAAGAATGCACCCATGGGGTCCACTGTTTTTTATACTGTCGAGGTGAAAGGGTGGATTACTGAGGTTTGAACCAGTCTTGGCCCTGGAAATTCTGACATGAGTCATTTTGAGAAAGGTCTCTTATTGTCCATGAGCCCCACTTTCCTTACCTGCAAAATCATGGTAAAAATATTTGCAGGAGAGACCAGCAATCATATGGAGGTAGCTGTAAGAATTTAACGAAATGTGCATAAAAGCACTGTGCAAGCTGTAAAGTACTGTACGTAGATATTACACTGATACTTCACTGAAAATGAAGACATGATTTTGCAGAATCAGGAGAGTATAAAATATCAAACTTAAAAGTTGACCTCTTAATAGCATTATTGGGAATCCAAAGTTTACTGACTTGGAGGTTTAAGATTTGTCTGACAGAGGTACAGAAAGACAAATTATCACATGTTCTCACTTATTTAGGGGATCTAAAAGCCAAAGCAATTGAACTCATGAACACAGAGAGTAGAAGGATAGTTACTAGAGGCTGGGAAAGGCAACGGGGGGTTGGTGGGGAGGTGAGATGGTTGATGGGTACAAAAAAATAGAAAGAATGAATAAGACATACTATTGACAGCACAGCAGGGTGACTATAGTCAATAATAACTTAATTGGACATTTTCAAATAACTTAAAGCAGCAGTCCTCAACGTTTTTGACACCAGGGACCAGTTTTGTGGAAGATGATTTTTCCACTTTGGGGGGTGGGGGAGAGTTTCAGGTTGAAACTGTTCCATCTCAGATCGTCAGGCATTAGTTAGATTCTTTTTTTTTTTTTTTTTTTTTTTTTGAGACAGAGTCTCGCTCTGTTACCCAGGCTGGAGTGCAGTGGCATGATCTCAGCTCACTGCAGCCTCTGCCTCCCAGGTTCTAGCAATCCTCCTGCCTCAGCCTCCCAGGTAGCTGGGATTATAGGCACGCCACACTACACCTGACTAATTTTTATGTTTTTAGTAGAGATGGGGTTTTACCACGTTGGCCAGGCTGGTATCGAACTCCTGACCTCAGGTGATTCACCCACCTCAGATTCCCAAAGTGCTAAGATTACAGGCATAAGCCACTGTGCCCGGCCCAGTTAGATGCTTATAAGGAGTGCACAATCTAGATCCCTCACATGTGTAGTTCACAAAAGGGTTCATGCTTCTATTAGAGTCTAATGCCACTACTGATGAGACAGGAAGTGGAGCTCACGTGGTAGTGCTGACTTGCCCACCACTTACCTCTTACTGTACGGCCCAGTTCCTAACAGGTCTCAGACCAGTACCAGTCCAAGGCCAGGGTGTGGGGGACCCCTGACTTAAAGATTGTAATTGGGTCATTTATAACTCAAGGGATAAATGCTTGAGGGGATGGATACCTCATTCTTCATGATGTGATTATTATGCATTGCATGCATGTATCAAAACATTTCATGTACCCTCCGTAAATATATATACCTACTATGTACCCACCGAAATTAAAAATAAAAAAATTTTTAAATTTTAAAGTAAACATTAACTGATTAAATCTATATACCATAAACAAGAATTCATTCCATCATAGGAACTCTCATATGGAATATTATATAAAAGAGAAAAACAAAATGCTTTTAAAACAAGATTTGTCTGGCAGAAGATTGTTTGATTATTTGTTTTTAAAGTAAGGTGGCAATACTAATTTGTTTGTCCAGTGCCTTTGTTGACAGTGGAGGGGGAATATTGGAATAGTTTGGACCCACCTTTATCCAGGTATTTTAAAGTAATGCTTATGCAATGTAGAATTGTCGTTAATTTGCCAGATAATGGCATGAACTTCCACTGTGTTGGACTTTGGGTTTTGAAAGATCCAAGTTCAAGTCCACATTTGGCCACATAGTAGCTGTGCAACGTGACACTTGTTATTTTATTATTTGTAAAACAAGGATAAAAGTTCTTCTAGGGATCATTGTGAAGGATGGAATGAGACGTTGAGTGAGAAAATTCTCTGAAAACCATGAACAACTCCATAAATATAGGGTGTATAGTTTGTATCATTACTCGTGTTTAAAGAAGTGAAACCAACAGCAAATGTTCAGTGACACAATTTAGAGGGAATCAAGTCAGAAATTAATGAGGTGTAGTCAAAAAGACACAGATTGCTTTTTGAAATGATTTCTTCCCATATGGCTTTGATATGGGATGTTTATGGGTGACAAATGGGGAACTATGCAAAGGTGATGCATGTGCACAAATTTGTTTTAAGATTCATAGCTTGCCTTGCTGGCAAGCGATGGACTTCTAAGAGATTCAGTAAAACCTGCTCAGTCCATTGCCTGTTTCAGACTTAGAGGACTGGAAATAAATTTGATTCAACCCCCAACAACTCTGTGAGAAAGCCATAGGGCTCACTGACCTCATGTGTCAAAAGGCAGTGTAGGAGTTCTAACTATGCAGAAGGGCTCACCACAGCAGGGCCAGGTGGCTAGCCAGGAAGGTTCTCCATAGGTTACCCTTACTGTGGTAAATTTGCCACAACCCATGTTCTGGGTGTAAGTATTGTAGCATATAAAGTCCAATTTTGTCAACATATAGAGAGTAGATCTTTCTCTCTGGAGTGCATTATCCCTACTCATCATGTGAAGTTTAAGACCTAATGCCAATTAGTTAATTTTCAGTGATAAGGATAGTTATCAGGAAATGTAGAATTTCTAGCTAACACACAAGAAACCAAATTACCATCATAAAATTGCTTGTTGAGCTTGGAATCTGAACAGGCATCATCAGTCACCTGATTGGAATGTTAAAGTGTTCGTTGGTCAAGTTTCTTGGGTGCAGGTAACAAAATTCTCTATTGACTCACCTAAGCAGAAAAGGAATTCATTGGTACTTCTTGGTCAGTACACAGAAGTGGTGGATAGGCTGGAAAACCAGGCTCAGAAAACAAAGGGAACCAAGAGAGTGTATGAATGGCAGACACACTGTCATCAGTTCAGTGTTCCACTGCTGTCGGAAATCTAAGCAGTTGATGCTACTACCTTTGGATTTTCAATCCTGATGATGCCACTGCTGATTTTTTTGAAATGCTCACACCACCATGTGTAGCGTCTCAGCTGTCCTTCCACCTTCGTTTCTTTCCTTCAAGATCCAAAGACCTGGATAGGAACATCTGGTTGCTGAGTTCAGGTCATATGCATCTACACAGCTATTGGGATGCTAGAAGAGGAAATGTATAGTTCCTAGACCTGTGCTTCTCAAAGTGTCATCTGCAGACTGGTGCCAGGCTGTGGAATGATCATTTTTATTTTGCGATGAGGCAAAGAACTCATGCTCTAATGGAAACCAGTTTAGTGCTTTTTCCACTTAGGCAGCTTTGCCATGGAAAAAGTGTCAGTTTAATTAAACAGTGTGCTACCAAACAGAGCAGCACTTTCTTTGACTTCATCATGGGAGGCTTGGACCTGACATCTGGGGACTCCCCACAAAAGAAGAGTGTTTGGAATCCATGTTGTAAAAAAAACAAAAAATATCCACCACAAATGAGATCAGGCTGAGTAAGCCTGATGTCTACTATTCTACCATAGAGACATTTTTGCCATCAGGAATGTGTGCGTTATGTGCATCTAGACATGCCCTCATCTGGCTGGTGTTTGGTTGAGTATGGTGATTTTGACTATCACTACTCTCTTTCCCATAGGGCAGATTGCTAGCTACCCTCTTGGGAAAGGGAAGGTTGGAGGGGACAGTTTCATGCCCACCCAACTCAGCTAGTTGAGGCTCTTCACTGTGATGGTGGGCCAGTGACCCTCAGATGACCTTGGAATGGGGTTATCTGTCCATTGTGAGTCCTGCCCTTTCTGTCTTCCATAAGCCAAATACTCATAGCACCTTGATGGAGCAGTTCTTTATCCAGTGGTTCAGGAAATGATCACAGTCTATATAGTTGGGGAATGGTGTGAGAAGGAAAGTAAGTATTGCAATTCTGGTTCACCTTCCTTGGTCCTTTGTGTTATACATAGAGGCTAAAGCCTCACTCTGTAAGCCATTACGGTATGTCTCATGTGAATGCCCCTTGTTCTCTTGCTCTTCTACTTCTCCTTCAGTCCTCTCTAAGATCTTCCCTGTTGAGTGCCCCTCCCAGCACCTCCCTAGAGAGCTAACCTTCCCTACAGAATAGTAAAGTTCCCATCTCTTCTTGAGACTTTTGAATTCAGACTCCCCAGTAGTCTGCTGGATGTAAAGAGATTTTCCCTTCACTTTGGGAAGCTCTGGTCTTATGAATGAGGTGGAGAAAAGATAGTAGTGAAGAAGAATTTCTTCTTCGGTTCCTAATAACTAAGCACCACTTACCATTTGACATGACTTGGATATGCGTCCCTGCCCAAATCTCATGTCAAATTGTAATTCCCATTGTTGGAGGAGGGGCCTGGTGGGAGGGGATTGGATCATGGAGGTGGAGTTCTCATGAATGGTTTAACACCATCCCCCCTTGGTACTGTATAGTGAGTGAGTTCTCATGAGATCTGGTTGTTTAAAGGGTGTGGCATCTCCCCACCCTCTCTTGGTCCTCCTGTTCCTGCCATGTGACATGCTGGCTCCCCCTTTACCTTCTGCCATGACTGTAAGTTTCCTGAGACCTCCCCAGAAACAGATGCCACCATGCTTCCTGTAGAGCCTGTGGAACTGTGAGCCAATGAAACTTCTCTTTATAAATTACCCAGTCTCAGGTATTTCTTTATAGCAATGTGAGAAGGCACTAATACACCATCGAAGGGATGAATGACCTTTCAAAGACTATTTGAAAATTGCACAATAGTATCAATATGACCTCGCTCCTCCTTATTAAACTAAGCTGCATTCATTGCTTATACATCTTGAGTTTCTGTGTGCAACTTCCCATGATAATGGACTATGAATGGTGCCACAGTGATGTTACTCTTCTCCAAAGCTCAGTGTTCTTCCTGCCTCTAACTCTGATCATGAAGGAAGGGAATGTCGACAAGTTTTAGTTCAACCTACCTTATCCTTCTATTCTGTCTATAGCTGACAAAACTCCAATTCTTATAGATAAATTAACCCTCAATCAGGTTATAGACACTCTTGTGGTTTGAGAGCAATTCTGTATCTCTAAGATAACTTAGAAGGTTCTGATATTATAGACTAATCTGAGCTGTTTACCATGTACCCCACCAAGAAAAGCTGTGAAAAATGCGTATTAAGTGCTATGGACTTGAAAACAAGATGTAAAAGAGGAAGAAAGGAGGGGGAAAAAAAGAAAAGAAAAAGGATGTAGGAAGAAAAAGAAAAAATAACTCATATTTAGAGAACAAAAGGTTATTTCTTTATCTTTTCAAATGTTATGTAGTGGGTAGGTTAGAATAACTGGAATTTTCTGGTGTAATTACCTTGTAATAGAATGGCAAATATCGTTCATCTGTGATTGGACTCATATCATAGATACTTACTTTTTCTATGAAAAAACTGGAAATCTTTTTTATTTTCTTTGAGATTTTGTCTCGCTCTGTCACCCAGGCTGGAGTGCAATGGCGTGATCATGGCTCACTGCAACTTCCACCTCCCAGGTTCAAACAATTCTCCTGCCTCAGCCTCCCAAGTAGCTGGGATTACAGGTGCACACCAGCACGCCAAGCTAATTTTTGTATTTTTAGGTAGAAACGGGGTTTCACCATGTTGGCCAGGAGGATTTTTTACTTCTGACCTCAGGTGATCCGCCTGACTTGGCCTCCTAAAGTGCTGGGATTACAGGCGTGATCCATCGCTCCACCGTGCCCTGCCGAAAATCTGTTAACTTTAGTATGTTAACTGCAGCCTTTTTCCAAAGGGATTTTCATTGGTAAAGGAAAGGAAGGATTTTTTTTTACCTGAGGCAATCTAAAGACAAGTGTGCTTAGGGCATTCATAGATTTCACTAAAAAGTGATCTTGTTTAGCTTCTGTATCCCATAACTCTAGGTTCAAGGGCTTTGTTTTCACTGAGTTGATCTGGTTTAGTGTTTTAAGGTGAAAACATGGTAAGTTACTATATAAGAAAGGAAAATTAAAGAAGAGTGGGGATGAAGGAGGGAGGTTGATGGTACATGAGAGAAGAGAGGGGCACACACACCATCACCACATCTGAATGTAGGAAGTGGGGAAGGTAAGACTCGGTGATCACACGGCGTGAAATTTCTCCGATGTTCCACATGTATGGAACAAAAATCAATGAGTCACTCAGCAAGCATTTTAATGAATATTACTCATAGAGCAATAGGGAATCGGAGATATTAAAATGTAGACACACAAAATTATTTAAAAATTCTATATTGTAAATGCTAAAGGCTGAGTAGAAACAAGAAGTGTTAATAGTTCTGAGAGGTTAGTAAAGGTGCCTCTAATTCCTCCTTGGAGTCAGACCTTGGTTAGGCATTGAAGGATGGGATGATAATGTCAAGAATTGTGAAAGGTCTGAGATTTGACCCTACTTGAAAGCTAACAAGTTAGCTTGCCACAGTTTCATAAATACTGGCAGAAGGTATAAGACTGCCAGATCAAAAACAGGACGTTATTGCTCATAGCACAGCAAGCAGAATGAGCCAGAATCTTTTTTTCTTGTTTTGAAAGAGAAATTTACAGAGGGAATAATAGGGGAAAATAAAGAGATCAGGAAGTACAACTTGTTCCTGACAGAGTAGAAAGTGAGAATCCAAATTGGGTTTTGACACAGCAGATGTGTAGCCCAGACAGTAGAGCTGGCTACACACACAGTTATGTCTAAGAGGAGGGCTGGCTTCCGGTTCATTCCTTATTCCTCCCCCATGGCTCACTCCTGCTGGTTTTGGTCTCTGGTTTCTATAGAGAGCACTGGTTCAGCTGCTAAATTAAAGATAGTGAATGAGGGATTGTTATCCAAGGGTCTGTTTTTTTCCCAGGGTCACCTTTCCGTAGTCCTATGCTGTTCAATACTGCAGCCATGAGCTACATGTGGCTGTGCAGCACTTGAAATGTGGCTAAACTGAAATGTGCTGTAAGTGCGAAATACACACTGAATTTCAAAGACTTAGTAGAAAAAGGGGGAAATATCTCATTAATACTTTTTATATTGATTACATGTTGAAATGATAATGTTTTCAATACATGATTTTAATAAAATATGAACATTAATTTCAGCTGTTTCTTTTTACTTTTTGATATATGGCTGCAAGAAGCTTCAAATTACATGTGTGACTCACGTGTGTGGCTCATGTGATATTTCTCTTGGGTAGATACATTTGAGCAAGAGAGGAGGCTCCTTAAGGTTCTCCTTATTATACTCCAAAGGCTGTGGTATTGATTTCCTGTTCTCTCATGACCTTGGCTGGGCATGGCCTGGGCCATTGACCTGCATTAAACTGCAGTTCTCCTTGAGGTACTCTGCTGCCCCTAACCAGAGTGTTTTCAAACAGGGGGAACAGGGATATGGTCAATACTTACCCCTCACTGGGTGCTGCATTGGCTCAGGCCTGTAATCCCAGCAGTTTGGCAGGCCGAGGTGGGTGGATCACCTGAGACTGGGAGTTCGAGACCAGCCTGACCAACGTGGAGAAACCCCATCTCTACTAAAAATACAAAACTAGCTGGCTGTAATCCCAGCTACTTGGGAGACTGAGGCAGGAGAATCACTTGAACCTGGGAGGCAGAGGTTGCGGTGAGCCCAGATCACACCATTGCACTCCAGCCTGGGCAACAAGAGCTAAACTCCATCTCAAAAAGAAAAAAACTTACTTCTCCTCTCATGACCTTGTCTTCCACTTGCCTTTACAAAGTTTTGCCACTCACGAAGTTTTGTAGGTGATTTGGGCTTTATGGAAAGGTCAAAGAATGCTAAAGGGAATTACAACCTATGGGGGAAGGACTTTCAAACTGTGTATTGATTGTGCCTTGTTTCCATGGCCTGTGAAAAATATACTCAGGGATTTAAACCCTTCACAGGGCATCCCTTTGTGCATCCTTAACCTTGTTCTTCTGACCTTGAGTCTTCACCCCTCCAGGAGATTACCATCTTCTAATATTTGTCATGACAATCTGCTACTCATTTTCTTTTTTCTTTTTTGAGACGGAATCTTGTTATGTTGCTGAGGCTGGAATTGAAGCCCTGGGCTCAAGTGATCCTCCTGCCTCAGCATCCCGAGTAGCTGGGACTACAGGTGGGTGCCACTGCACCTGGCATGCTACTCATCTTGTATGAAACTCTACCAGCTATTCACAGAGGATGGTCTTATCTAAGGATATCCACCCCCCCAATCCTGTTCTCCACTCCTTTTGAATGCTGGATTCCTGAGAATACCATGCAAGCAACCTACTAGTAAGACAAAGTTGAGTTTACTCCTACCGCAGTAAGGGTGAGCATTACCTCAATGCAGTCTTAGCAGCTTCATTAGGGGAAAGGGCTAAGTTGTGATGCTTATGAGGCTTCAGAGACTAGTTAAAACTGGGCCTTTTGTGCAGCAGATTGATCATCATTGGATAAGAAGTATGATGTAATCGTTTAAAATTGGTGGACACAACAAGGGGAGATTTTGAGGTGAATGTTTTTAATAGTCTAAAGGAATAAAAAGCTGTCAATGCTGTCTATTGAATTGAACAGTTTGATTTTCATTTAAACAATTATCTTGGGGAAGGTTTCTGAAAAAATCTTATTTGCAACTTTTATCCTCTTAGACAAACTTTTTTTTTGGAATAGCAGTCCAAATTTTTTCTTGGAATAATCAGCATTGATTAAAAACAGCTGAATAGTAAAGTGATGTTAGTAAAGTTACTAAAGGGTGCTGAATTGGAAAGCTATGTTAATGCAGACGGTAAGCTGTGTAGATCCAGGTGGTAGAGTTCTCACTCACAGCAAGACACGCCTCTAGTCTGTGTTACTCAGTTTTCAGGGCTCCAGACGGGTAGTCTTGGGCACTCTATGTCTACAGATATTAGAGTGCACATCAGCTTACCACATGTATATGCAGATATTTCTTGTCCTAGTTTGTGTTTCCCTCAAAACAGACTCTGAGACAAGGATTTGGTTTATTTGGGATGTGACTGTAGGAAGAACAGGAGGGAAGGTGGAAATCAGTCAAAAGTGCATGAATGAGCAAGTTACCACTTAGGCAACAGGGGTTCAATCCCTCCTGGAACCTTCTGAAAGACTGTGGACTACCTTGGGGGTAGGAAGTTGGGGTCCTTATCCACTCCCATTCTAGTACTTCTGGGCTGTCCCAGACAGGATGAGTACACTCCTTTAGAGGTTAGCAAACACCCTCAGAGGGTGTCCATTAGCCTGTAAAAGAATCCTCTGTAGGTGGCCTATGGGAAGATCCCAGGGGTATGGGCATGGCAGGTTCAGCACCTGCTATACAGTCCAACATGGTAGTAGACCAAGTAGGTGCTTGATAAATATTTATTGAATGAATGAATAAACACATGTTGTTTAAAGATGAGCTTTAGTTCTCAAACTATAGTATAAACTTGATGAGATAGACCTTTCCTTAACTGCCCCATAATTATAAGGCTGGTCCTCTCATAATAGAGTTAGCACCTCACAATATTACACATCCACCTCCTCTGCCCTCTTTTCTCCCTTTAGCCCTGCCAAGAATGAGAAAAGGGTGAATCACTGATCCTTTTAATAGCAATTCCTTTAGCTTCGTGAAGACCGACTGTGAAGACTGGAAATTAACTTGCAAAGGCACAGTTAAGTTCTTAGATAGGAAATACTATCTTCTGCCATCCCTGCTAGTAGAGATTGGGGAGTTGGGGGATGGGATGACAGGGGTGTTATTCAATTACAGAGTTGTTTGTTTTGACATCTGTTGTCCCTGGTTTTGGTTCCCTTTTACTCTGGAAACTATGTATTAACCTAGAGGAATGGTTATCTTGATGGGAATGTCAGGGATGGCAGCAGGCCTGTGGGTGGCTAGGAGGCTAATTTGGAACAAGTTGGGGTGGGGGAATAGGCTGCGATTCCTTGAATTACACAAACAGAGGCCAGATCTGCAGTGTGTGAAGACCTTGCTTGGCAAAAGGCAGTGCTAACATCATTGAGAAAGAGTTGATTTAGGCTGATGTGAGCTAAATGTACATGAGAGGGCTCCAGTGACCAGAGACAAGATTTCCAGATATAGCCTGGGTGCAGTGGCTCACGCCTGTAATCCCAGCAATTTGGGAGGCTGAGGCGGGCAGATCACCTGACGTTGGGAGTTCGAGACCAGCCTGACCAATATGGAGAAACCCCATCTCTACT